AAATCATTAAATACAAAAAAAGTGATTTAAACTTAAGTTATTAAATAGATGCACGTTATATAAAAGCTTTTCAGGTATTCTGAAGATTCAATTAGAAACAAGACTGTAGAAGTGAATTGTAATATTTTCAATTAGTTTAATTAAAGTATGGGGTGGAAGTAATCAAAATTTACCTGTTTATATTATGTTCGAAGTTGTTGTACGATGAGTACATAGTGATTGAGCCGAAGCCGACGTTCAAGGAGAAGAAGCACTGAGTAACAGCAGCGTACCAGACCTAAGAAGGGCGGAAAACAAGCAAAAAAAAAAACAAGAGATAAATGAAAAGCGTGTCTATCGTGGAAGTTTGTTAATTAAAATTTACATCTGCAGACAGTAGCTTGCTCCATTCGGGCCTGTAGAAGAATAGGATACCTTCGGCGGCGCCATCTAAGGTAGCGGCCCTAATTAGCAGCGCTATCATGACGACGTACGGGAACAATGCGAGGAAGTACGCGGCCTTTCCTGAACTCTGGACTCCTCGCCTCGAGACGACGAAAGTTATAATCCAAGCGGCGAGAAGGCAAAGGGTTAAGCGCCATTCCGGTAAGCCGATCCCATCCTCGATACTAGGTATTTCCTTCAGCACTTCCTTTCTGCAAATTTCGCACAATGCAGAAGACAACAGTAACGATGATATGCATCAAATGTAGCTTACGTAAACCAGAGTTCTGAGGAGCCTTTGCTGTTTCCGTGAGTCGTCCCGTTCCCTTTATTCACGCTCGGAATACAGGTGATTCCATTTAACTCGAGATCTTCGGCCCACTCGGATTTGCAGGTGGACCAAGGTAGTTCCGAGGTGAAGGAGTTGGCAAGGTAGAATATGGTTATGGCCATCAACGAACAGTAGTAAGTGGCGACGCATATAGTCCCAATCAGTTGTCCGTAACCGATACCTAAAGACACGTTCCCAATTCATCAAGATTGTTGTGAGTTAGCACACTTATTGCGCTTACCTTTCAAAGCTGGTGCAAGCGCTTCGAAGACTTTAACGTTACCGCGACTGCTGAACTGTCCGAGCGCCATCTCCATGTAATAGATTGGTCTTCCTATCAGCAGCAACACTATGATGTAAGGGATGAGGAAGGCTCCGCCGCCGTTCTCGTAAGCGGTGAACGGGAATCGCCAGATGTTTCCTAATCCCACCGACATCGCTATGCACGACATCAGAAACTCCAATCCGTTGCCCCATTGCGCCCTATCCTGACTCTGGTCTCCTTCCTCGATCTCGATCTTCTAATCCGAAATTTAACAGCCGTTAGTAATGGTCAACTAATTCACTTAAATCTAATCAACTGTTACTTTTTTTTCCAATTCAAATCGGAAAAAAAAACATTTAAAATCTAATCATCAATCTAAATATATACAGAAATTAATAATCTGTTCAAACTTAATATACAAAAAAATACTTCCTCATAAACTAATGCAACGCGTGTGAATATATAGCAATATATTAATGAACAAACATACAACAAGGTCACACAAATCTGAAGGTAGATTAAGAAATCAACACGGAGAGTGTACAGAAATAAAAAATAGATACTTAATTTGATATTTTAAACGAAGGACGAATTTTTTTTTCACTCCAGATTCTCTTCCTTTTCGTTCTACATCCGCACGAATCGATCATTTGTAATTAATTATCCGAACGTGCGTAATTCCAAAAGTCACACACAAACGAAATTAATTACGCAATAATTTATTGTATTTAGCCGAGATGCAGACGAGACGAGACGTCTGAATAAATCCATTCATTTGTAAGGATTTGTTCAAAACAATGAAAAAAAACTAGAAGCAAATCTGTTGCGTAAACATCAACAACTAATGCTTTTTTAATAAGCAATTAGTGTGTACAAATATATAGAATCAATCAAATTTATAATTATCTTATTTTCTAGTGATGTTTTCTCAAACTTGTATAATAATGTATGAAAACATACACAATTTTTCGTTGAATTTAAATACCAATTAATTTACTTTCTCAAATGTATAGTTTTCTGTAAATTTTAAGTAATAATTAACTTTTATTTAAATAATTTTAATTGGTGTTTATTTTTTTTTGATAAATATTATAAAATATGGAATAATTATTACAAAATTAATTAATGACTTCAAATTGATTATTGTTTATTTTCTTAATTAATTTTTTATAATTTCCTGTAAATTTAGCTCTTTGCTATTCATCTTTTTCCTAATTTATTTCTATTTTTTATAACAAACAATCAACGTTTCCTGTAATCAATTATTTTCTTAATCAATTCATACTATGAGTATTTTTTTTTCTAATTCTAATTAGAGTATAAAATCTGAAATCTGTTTTGCATAATGCGGATAATCTGTTCCGCTAATAAACCGGACTATTTGAAACCGACCTAATCGAGGAACTAAATACACACAAAAACACAAATTGAGTGGGAAAAAAAATACGATTATTTTGTATAAAAATAATATATATTTTCTCAAGTTAAATTTAGTTTATTTCGAATTTTTCAAACCGTACTATAGTGAATCCGGACTGATCGAAGCAACAGATATTCGTGTATTAACCGGACTATTTGAAACCGACCTAATCGAGGTACTAAATACACACAAACACACAAATTGACTTGGAAAAAAAATACGATTATTTTTGTATAAAAATAATATATATTATCTCAAGTTAAATTTAGTTTATTTCGAATTTTTCAAACCGTACTATAGTGAATCCGGACTGATCAAAGCCAGAGATATTCGTGTATTAACCGGACTATTTGAAATCAACCTAATCGAGTAACTAAATACACACACACACACAAATTGACTGGGGAAAAACGTATCTTTATATTTGTATAAAAATAATATATTTTGCTCAAGTAAAATTTACTTTCTTTCGAATTTTTCAAACCGTACTATATTGAATCCGGATTGAACGAAGTCAGAGATATTCCTGTATTAACCGGACTATTTGAAACCGACCTAATCGACACAAATTGATTGGGAAAAACATATCTTTATATTTGTATAAAAATAATATATTTTGCTCAAGTAAAATTTACTTTCTTTCGAATTTTTCAAACCGTACTATAGTGAATCCGGATTGATCGAAGCCAGAAATATTACTGTAATAATAGTATACATGTTATATATTGTTTTTCAAGTGATTCAAATGATATTCAAATTGAATATCATTTAAGTTATGTAAAGTTTTGGATTTGTTTCGCCAATAAACCGGATTATTTGAAACAGTACTAATCGAGCAACTGAGATATTAGTGTATAAATAGTATGATCGAAGTCAGAGATATTACCGTATTAATAGTTATTTTTTTCAAGTGATTCAAATGATATTCAAATTGAATTTTAACTTGTACAAAGTTTTGGATTTGCGAATGTTTGCAATTGTCGTTTTCTCGATTCTGTTCGGATTAGCGAGAACGCATAAGTAGGTAAGCTGTCTATATATTTACTTATTTTTGTTGTATATTTGTGCGTGAGAAACTTGAGTAAGTGCGACTTTGAAGAAGCGAGGATAATGGGAAACGTAAATAAATCGTCTCCAGTGGAAGCAAAGAAAAAAAGAATGTATTCGATGGAAACGTTTCAATGGAATAAGAAAAAGAAAAGAAAATAAAACAGATCTTCAAGTTGTTAATGGTATAAATCTTAACAATTATTATATTAAGTGATAAAAGTATACTTAAACTGGTCTAAATTTAACGTACTTTTTTAGTTCAAATTAATTACTTAAGTTAAGTTCTGAAAGCATCTGTTAATTTCTGACTAACAACAAATTAAAAAATAGTTATTGGTTATATGAAAATGGTTAATCTAAAGTGACTAATCGGCTTATATTTATGAAAAAACTTAATCTCAATCTATAACAAATTATTAGATTAATGTTGATTCATCAATTTTTCATTAATTTTACATTTAAACAAAGATTTAACTAATTCGTATTTTTTTTATATTCTTGTCAAATGAAACTTTGATACAGCAATAAATCGAAGTTGATTATGTAATATAAACAGTTTTTAATCAAGTTAAATACAAATTAGTTACTTTTTTTAATTGATAAAATAACAGTTTGTTAATTATAGTGAAGATCGTAATAACAAATAAAGATTTTAATGAATGATCAAAATGTTATATTTTTCAATTGAATTTTCTGATCATAACGCTGAAGATTTTCCTAATAAAAGAAAAACAGATTTTAATCAATCATTGCAACTTTTATGTGCTTCAATTTAATTTTTGCAGAGTAATAACACTTTGTTATGTAAAGCTTGAAGATCTTGATAATAAAGTTCCAATTAAGTCAGTTTACAAGAAGAGATAACGTTACCTTACGAGAATTTATTGTATAATCAATACACTGTGATGCGTTTGAGAACAATGCAACGTGGAATTAAAGTCGAACCGGAAGTGCAAGTGCTTTTCAGGTAAGTATGTTAAGGTGAACAATAAAATCCATGACATGTAACAGACCATTATTATAGTTAATTTCCATTCTCAGCAATTCTACAATTTATTTTCCGCATTTGAAATAGAAATTTTTCAAAGGCAAATGCATTGTTTATATTGCAGCTTCGATCAGTGCGGTTTCACTTTTAATTGATTTTTCTTTCACAGTCAAGAACTGATTATATTTGTATGCGGTTTTATAGTCCTCGGTTAGTCCTGTTTCAAACAATGCGGTAATCAGTGCGTTATGTGGTTTTTTTTTCAGATTCATTACAAATTTAATTGTTTTTTGCACTTGACCAAAGAATTTTATATTGCAGCTTCGATCAGTGCGGTTTTACTTTTAATTGCTTTTCCTTTATACAGTCAAGAGCTGATTATAACTGTATACGGTTTTATAGTCCTCGATTAGTCCTGTTTCAAACAGTGCGGTAATCAGCGCGTTATGTGTTTTTTTTTTCAGATTCATTACAAATTTAATTCTTTTTCGCACTTGACCAAAGAATTTTATATTGCAGCTTCGATCAGTGCGGTTTCACTTTTAATTGATTTTCCTTCATACAATCAAGAGCTGATTATATTTGTATGCGGTTTTATAGTCCTCTATTAGTCCTGTTTCAAACAGTGCGGTAATCAGCGCGTTATATGTTTTTTTTAAGATTCATTACAAATTAAATTGTTTTTGCACTTGACCAAAGAATTTTATATTTCAGCTTCGATCAGTGCGGTTTCACTTTTATTTGATTTTCCTTAATACAGTCAAGAGCTGATTACATCTGTATACGGTTTTATAGTCCTCGGTTAGTCCTGTTTCAAACAGTGCGGTAATCAGCGCGTTATGTGTTTTTTTTTCATGTGTTTCATGTGTTTTTCAGATTGATTACAAATTAAATTGTTTTTCGCACTTGAGCAAAGAATTTTATATTGCAGCTTCGATCAGTACGGTTTCACTTTTAATTGATTTTCCTTAATATAGTCAAGAGCTGATTACATCTGTATACGGTTATATAGTCCTCGATTAGTCCTGTTTCAAACAGTGCGGTAATCAGCGCGTTATGTGTTTTTTTCAGATTCATTACAAATTTAATTGTTTTTCGCACTTGCCCAAAGAATTTTATATTGCAGCTTCGATCAGTACGGTTTTACTTTAATTGATTTTCCTTAATACAGTCAAGAGCTGATTACATCTGTATACGGTTATATAGTCCTCGATTAGTCCTGTTTCAAACAGTGCGGTAATCAGCGCGTTATGTGTTTTTTTTCATATTCATTACAAATTAAATTGTTTTCCGCACTTGAGCAAAGAATTTTAGATTGCAGCTTCGCTCAGTGCGGTTTCACTTTTAATTGATTTTATAGTTCTCGATTAGTCCTGTTTCAAACAGTGCGGTAATCAGCGCGTTATATATTTTTTTTTTCAGATTCATTACAGATTAAATTGTTTTTCGCACTTGACCAAAGAAACTGATCTCGAATTGAGCAAACATCAACAGATCTCAGTTTCCTTGAAAACAATGTATATATTTCAATTACTGTCAATTATTTCTGCGTTTCTTTCCAACTAAACCACAATTATTCAAGGATGAACATAAGACGTTTTTATTTTTAAAATATTTCAACTGAAATCAAATTGGATATAAATTATCAATATCTTTTCCATTTTCTTAAGGAATTACATAAAGTTTTTTAACAAAATTATTGAAATTTTCTTATAATTAATTGAAAATAAAATCTCAATTTTCATATAAAATTACCCAAACTTTTCTAACATGTTTATTAATCTAAATATTGTTGTTT